TTAAACATGCAACAGTCTTCTCAGGCAGAAATATAGGCCCATATAAGGATTTTTGGATAAGCACCTACCATCTCTTTTCACTATGAATGTGTGAAGTTATTCATTTGGAACTATTAGCCAATCTCACAAGACAATAGAATTATGCCAAGACATCAGCTTGCTGAAAGTAATATGTGGTTGAAAGATAAAGTGAAGCTGAAGTGATCTCTCCAAGGTGCACAAGCCTGGGCGGTGTATATGGAGACACTGAGCTGTCCACACACTAGTGTCCCCCTCTCTTCCCAGCCTTGCTGGTTTACGCTAAAGGAGAGGCAGGCAGCAGTATGTTTGGAACCAGCTGGGCCGCAGGAGCTGCTGGAACAGAGATCGTCCATTTGTTCAATCGGGGCTCCAGTCCTAGACTGACTGTCAACCAGTCTTAAAGAACCCAGTCTACCCAGTCACGGAGTTGACTTCAGTTCCTTAAGTTTTTGATGACCAGATCAGGAGGATGAAATAAATGAGGCTTTCTTTAGACAACTAGCAGAAGTTTCCAGATCATAGGCCCTGGTTCTCATGGGGAACTAGGAGGGCAATATGGCAGGGCACCAGTAATCCAGGAAGTTTTTGGAGACAACCTCTTGGTACGAGTGTTGGAGAGACCAACCAAGAGCCATGCTCTTTTTGACCAGCTGCTCACAAACAGGGAAGAATTGGTGGGGGACGCAGGAGTGGATGGCAACTTGGGCAGCAGTGACCACAAGACGATCAAGTTCAGGATCCTGACAAAAGGAAGGAGAGGAGGGCTCGGAAGAACAGCAGAGTATGGACCCTGGACTTCAAAGCAGACTTTGATTCCCTCAGGGAACTGATGGGCAGGATCCTATGGGGGGGCCAGTCTGAGGGGGAAAGGAGTCCAGGAGAGCTGGTTGTATTGTAATGAAAACCTCACCGAGAGCACAGGAACAAACCATCCCGAACTGCAGGAAGAATAGCAAATATGGCAGGCGACCAGCTTGGCTTAGCAGGGGACTCTTCAGTGAGCCTAAACACAAAAAGGAAGCTTACAAGAAGTGGAAGCTTGGACAGATGACTAGGTAGGAGTACAAGTGTTGCTTGGGCATGTAGGGATAAAATCAGGAAGGCCAAAGCACAGTTGGAGTTGCAGCTAACAAGGGACGTGAAGGGTAACAAAAAGGGTTTCTACAAGCACGTTAGCAACAAGAGGGAGGTCATGGAAAATGTGGGTCGCTTACTAAATAGGGGAGGTAACCTAGTGACATATGATATAAGGCTGAAGTGCTCAATCCCTTTTTTCCTAAAGTCTTCACAGGTAAGGTCAGCTCCCAGACTACTGCATCAGGCAGCACAGTCTGGGGTGCAGGTGAGCAGCCCTCAGTGGTGAAAGAACAGGTTAGGAACTATTTAGAAAAAACAGATGCGTACAAGCTCATGGGGCTGGATGCAATGCATCTGAGAGTGCTGAGGGAGTTGGCCGGTATGTTGACAGAGCTGCTGACCATTATCTTTGAAAATTTGTGACGATCGGGGGAGGTCCCAAACGATTGGCAGATAGAGTGCCCATCTTTAAGAAGGGAAAGAAGCAGGATCCAGGGAACTACAGACCAGCCAGCCTTACTTCAGTCCCCAGAAAAATCATGAAGAAAGGCCTCAAGGAATCCATTTTTAAAGCACTTAGAGGAGAAAAAGGTGATCAGAAACAATCAACATGGATTCACCAAGAGCAAGTTAAGTCTGACCAACCTGATTGCCTTCTATGATGAGATGAGTGGCTCTGTGGATGCAGGGAAAGCAGTGGACATGATATACCTTGACTTTAGCAAGGATTTTGATACAGTCTCCCACAGCATTCTTGAAAAACAAGTCAAGGAAGCATGGGTTGGATGAAAAGTGTCAAGTGGGTAGAAAGCTAGCTGGACCATTAGGCTCAACAGGTAGCAATCAATGGCTCAATGTCTAGTTGGCATCAAGTGGAGTACTCCAGGGGTCAGTCCTGGGGTCAGTTTTGTCCAATATCTTCATTAATGATCTGGAAGTTGGAATGGATTGCAACATCAGCAAGTTCACAGATGACACCAAGCTAACGGCTACAGTAGATACACTGGAGAGGAGGGCTAGGATTCACAGTGACCTAGACAAATTGGAGGAGCGGGCCAAAAGAAATTTCAGGAGGTTCAACAAGGACAAGTGAAAAGTCCTGCACTTAGGACAAAAGGCTCCAATGCACCACTACAGGCTTGGGTCCAACTAGCTAAGGTGCAGCCCTGCAAAAAAGGACCTGGGGGTTGTAGCGGACAATAAGTTGAATACGAGTCAGCAGTGTACCCTTGTTACCAAGGAGGCTAACAGCATACTGGGCTGCATTAGTAGGAGTGTTGCCAGCAGATTGAGGAAAGTAATTATTCTGGTCTATTCTGCACTGGCGAGGCCACATCTGGAGTACTGTGTCCAGTTTTGAGCCCTCCACTACAGAAAGGAGGTGGACAAGTTGGAAAGCCCAGTGGAGGGCAATGAAAATGGCTAGGGGGCTGGGCACATGACTTGTAAGAAGAGCCTGAGGGAACTGGGCTTATTTAACCTGCAGCAGAGAAGAGGATGAGGATGAAGCTGGACTGTTCTCAATGGTGGCAGATGACAGAACAAGGAGCAATGATCTCAAGTTGCACCAAGGGAATCTTAAGTTGGATATTAGGAAAAACTCTCTCTAGGAGGATGGTGAAACAGTGGAACAGGTTACCTAAAGATGGTGGAATCTCCATCCTTAGAGATTTTTAAGACCCAACTTGACAAAGCTTTGGCTGGAATGATCTAGTTGGGGCTGGTCCTGCTTTGAGCAAGGGGTTGGACTAGATGATCTCCTGAGGTCCCTTCCAACCCTCATTTTATGATTCTATGCTCAGGCTCAGAGTGAGTTCAACTTGAGCTTTTCCGCACTCAGTTTCCAGGTCATGCTTGGGAAAGAAAGACGTGTGGTTTTGACACCTGAGGGCATGGGTAACTTTGCAATAGCTTACGATGTGGCTGCTTTAGCCCTGGCACACGACATTGTGTCATAGTACAGCCTAGGTAGCCTTGCACAAAGCCATAGTGTCCATATGGAAAACACTGACAGAGCCTGGCTTAGTGACATCCTGTCTTTAGTCCTCTTCACACTTTGGCCAAATGTGCACGTGCCTCATTAAGGGCTGCGCAAAGTGATGTTGCAGTTTTACAGCCTAGAATCAAATAAAACTGTGATTCTCCCCCCTTCCTCTTCTTATACCTCACAATGTGCAGGTTCTACAAAAGCAAGGGGATTGCCTCTTGTCTTTTTATTCTCCACCCTGAAGCTCTACCCCTTTTTCATATTGCTTTATGAGAATATAAGGGGAATTGATCTTTTCTTCTTTGGCTAATACCTCCTGGAACAAGGCAATATTAACACAATACAATACAGTGAGCTCTTGGCCTGTAGAGGGCCCAGTGGGTAAAATGGGAAAAGCATAGCCTTAGTATTCAGCATCCACCTCTCTTCATAATCTTTAAACTTTCATTCACTTTGAAATCTTTTTCCTCCTCAAAGAAACACTGAAGGAAAACCAGGCATACATCTGATCACAACCTGCCCTCCCCCGCGCACTTTTTTTTTTTTTTTTTGCAACAACTGAAATCAACAGGCAAGGCGCCTACTTAAATTGCAGCAGACATCCATGGCCCAGCAGTGCCTTAAATCTTGCTCTTTTTGCCGTGCACCCCCTCCCCATCCCACTGTTGAATGGCCAAGAGGCAAAAACCATGGCATTAATTGCCCCTTGGCCACTCAGCAGGAGAGGGTAGGGAGGGGTGTGGCACAGCAAAGAGAGATTAAAGGCACCACCATACTGTAAACTTCTGTTGCAATTTAGGTAGGTCCCTCCAATAGGACCAGAATATTTCTCCAGTATGGGTGCAAATTAAATTACTGGTAGGTGCAGCTTAGTTTTCATAGAGGGGTTAGTCCCTCTTGTTTTGCAGAATAAAAATAAGACTAATTTGTGAACCTTGCATCAAAACTGTGCCAGGCCTTCTGACTAAGAATATGTCAGCTGCTCAAGCAAAAGATTCATTCAAAGCCTTTTCCAAAAAATCTACACATGAAGGTCCTGTTCGGAATCAACTATTTTCATATAAATTAAGTAACTTAAATATATAGACAGTTGACTATTCACTACAATTGAAGTCACTTCCTAACAGTATGAACATACCCCACAATACTTCCTGGTTTTTAACTGCAATGACTTACCAGGTTTAGGTATTAACCCCAATGTGCTCTCCAGCTGGTTTGAAGAAGACTCAACTAAACACCATTGTTTAGTGTCCACCAGCTGCCATGCATCCATTTGACTGCTATATATTCTATAGATTGCTGCAGCAACATTAATTCAGTCCTCCTTGGTTGATGCATTGCTGTAATTTTTTCATGACTTGTAGGTGCAACCTAATAAAATGCCTTGACTGAACTGGCCAGAAGAAAACTCAAAGGGTTCAAGGAGGGTTTGTAACATTCGACCACGATATTGATGCACTACGGAGGGAAGCCTGGAATATGGAGGCTGACCAGTAATCAGAATTACATATACTAGAGAAGATACTCAAATCAAGACCACTTGGGAGAAAGAAGTTTAGTTGTGTGTCAGGGAACAGCCAATTATCTCCCTATTTATCAGTAGAGGTATTTAGTGTCTTCCAGCATAGGACATCCCAAAAAAGTGTGTTGCTCATCAGGGCAGGACTATATTTGATAAATTTGATCTGATATTCAAAATGGACAAGGGTGGCTGTTTTACCAAAGACCTCTTTTAATGAACCGAAGTGAGGCAGATGGCTACCATTATGGAAATCTGAGTCTTGCGACTCAGAAAAGGAAGTAGACTTTGAGGTGTTAGTAAATTCAAAAAGTAAAACATCTTCACACTTTAAGAGGGAACACCTGGATTGCTGCATCTGGCACCATCACTGGAAAGGAAGCAAGAACTACACACTTTTTTTTAAACTCCCCTTTAATCACCCACCATAAAGCCATTATTTCTGATTTGGTAACTGGTTCATATTTATAAAAATCATTCCATCTAATATGGACTGTATGCATGAGGGCAGAACTTCATGGGCAGTTAATCCAACTCCTTCTTGCACTTATAAACTGTATAAAAAAAATTTGCTTCACAGGCAAAGACTCAGTGCGATTTCCTTAAAAGCTGAAGGCAAATCTATGTTCTTGACAGTCCACGATTATCCAAGTCCTTTACCTGCAAAACAATAAATTATTTACGCTTTCTTCAGAATTTCTCAGAATTAACAAAGAGAAATACTTTTTGAAAGAGTTTCCCTAGACATTCCCTGATCATAATTTTTTTTTTAATTCTGTCTTAAACAGTTAATATTCAAAGCCAAGTTCTTTAATTCTTGTGTACTAGTGCTTTGCAGTCACAAGCTATACAAAAGGGCTAAGTCATTCCACTTGTTTTCCTGTCTTTTCAGAGGTGTCATAAATTACCGCAGTGATGGAGAGCTCAGATGAGAAAGAAGAGATCATTTCACTCATCTTATGATATACTTCAGATGTGTTCCACTGGTTTGAACTGGGCAGAACTAATTGCATGAAAGACATATTTCAACTTTTCTAAAAGTGTTGTGATGAACATTTTATTATATTTAACTATACATAATTCTCTGCAGACTGTGGAACAGAAGCACTTTGTGTTTTTGTAGCTTTCACATACTGAGAGGGGAAGCAGGTGTACTTGGTAACAAAGACATCAGTGGCAACTCCATTTCACAGAAAGAAATGGATGCACTGTGTGAACAACTTGTCCTGGATCATGCAGCAAATCTATCAGTCGGGAAAAGACTAGATTTCTTGTCTCCTCCTCTGTGTTCTCCCCACTGCATTATATGCTAAGGCAGCATGGGCCCAAAGGGCAAAACACTATTTGCTATTCCAGAAAAGGTATAATGTGATGAGACACAAAACTAGTCAAATCTGTATAGCAGAGTCAAAGCTAATTCCACTGTCTGCATTTATTTGCTTCTTTTGGTATAGTTGAGGTGGCAGAAATTTGAATTTTGATTCAACCTATGCAGCTTCAACCTTCACAGCCATCTGGTGAGCTGCAAAACTTGCCCTCCAAAAGCTGTCTGTGCAAGCAACAAATAATGAAGCCTGGTCAAAACAATGCATTTCTTATACAATGATCCAAAGAGACAGGTACAGAAACAAGGCGCTGCCTAAAATAGTACTAGCCGAAACTTCAAACTAGATTCCTTTCTATGTCAAGTTAATGCAATGTCTGTGACAGCCTTGATTGATATCCTAAATTCATTTCTAAAGCTCAACTCCACACTTTACTTAGAAGAAAAAAAAAGATCTCAGTGAAGGATCTTTGAGATGGAGGTATCCCAGGATATTAGGAATACCCTGACTGTTCTCTCTTAAGAAGCAGATGGTAGCCCCTATTGTTTACTTACTTTGTATATTCGGACTAGCCAGTGCTCTGTAGTATAGGCCTCTTCCAGGACATCAAGCTCAAAGTCTTTGTTTCCAATCTCGGCATTTCTCACTCTATCATAACCTGGTGGGCGTTCTAGAAAGAATGCAAAAGTGATCAGAGACTTCAGAGGCCCTATTTCCACAGAAGTAACATAGACCCCTCCAACCCAACTGAAGGTACTTTCCAAAGGACTCAAAACCCAAGAGAGACCGAATGATTTTGGAATATGAACTGCCCAATCTCCCTCCTCCTTCCCCAGGTGACTGCACTCCAAAAAGAGTAGCATGCCCACTGTCTGTACTCCTTATTTTAAATAAATAAATCAGGATTTTGTTTATTAGTAAATAGCAGGCCTTGTGAAGTATTGGGGGGGAGGGGGGGGGAGGAGAGCAGAGCATTAAGGTAAGTGAGAAATGCTATTGTTTCATGTTGTTTGTGGAGAGAGTGTCCAACTGCATCTTAAACTTTGTGGTGTTAGGTATCAACATGTTTTCGTGGGAGACAGCCATACAATAAGTTTCAGCACAGGGCAGCCAAAATGGCTAAAGCCTTCCAGTAAAGTAAGGAGCCTGCCAGTGATTCACATTTCAGCACAAATTTGAGAGAGAATTTCACACTGCTGAAAGATGCTGGAATGAAGCCCCCTTTCCTTATCCCCAGAGGGCAGGTCAGCATCATCTCCACTTTAAAGACTGCGGTGAAGGAGGAAGAAGGGAAAAGCAACTTGCCCAAAGCCATACTGCAAGTCAGTGTCACAGCTGCGAGCACACAATGTCACAAAACACCTTAAATGAACCTTAAATGTCAGGATATTTGTGTTCTCTGCTTTAGTCTCAAGACAAATTCCTGGTGCTCTTTTTGCAATACCAACATAAAGACCACTGCTACTTACTGGCTTCAGTGTAGACCTGCCCAAAGCGGTAGTAGCACATCTTATACATAAGGCAGTTGAGCAGCACAGGGGAACCCTCCCTATCGACACGGAACTCTCCGGTCGGTGTGTAGTAATCATGTTCCTTTATGTGCTTCCCAGTGTCTGTGCTCCCACCAATTCGCACCATCCACAGGAACTTGTTGATATCTAAAGGAGCAAGGAGACAGTGTGAGGTGTAAAACATTTACTCTCATTTCCAACAACCAGTTAAAACACCTAAGCGTGGCATTCAAGAGGAACACTGTCCAGACTACAGGCCTCTGCCTGACAGGGGACAACATCTGGCAAAAAATTAACACAGGTGCATGTCTCAAATCTCACATGCCGTTGATTCATTAACAATGCACCATCTACATGCAGTTTCAGCTGGGAGTGAGGCTCTAACAGATCTGGGTGTGGGAACAAGTTGCTACAAATGGTTCAGTCTCCTAGAACTGTAAAATGTCCTCAGTGAGCAAAGTAGCAGCACTTATATGGCAATGTCTCCTTAAGTGTTGTATTAGTTATTAAACACATTGAACTCCACCACCCCAGAGGAGGCAGGGAATCCTTATTCTACAGATAAGGGAACAGAAACACAGTCTAAGGATTATTGTCCAGGAATACAAGGAGTGACAGGCAACACAGAAACTAGTACTGAGTGGGTGCATCTACATGAGATGCTTTATTGTGCAGTAAACGTACGCATCTACACATACACACACTTACTGCGCAATAAATGGGTCTAATCAGAAGTAAATCTGCTACCTGCAAATGCAAGTAGCAAAATTTACTTGCAATTAGTTACTGCACAGTAGTGCTTGTGTAGCAAGGCCTCGGCTGGGTGGGGATTCCCCACCCAGCCAAGGGCTCACTGCTAGCTGCCCCACCAGCGGATCAGGACAAGGTCTGGGACCTGCCCCACCCCTGCAGCTCTTTCTAAATCCTGAGTTCCCAACAGGGGAACTCGGCCCAGGAGCCCCCTACTACCGGGGCAGGGGGACATTGTCCCTGCCCTGGCAGTAGCCCTCCCTGAGGATGTCCCAGCCCTGGCCAGGAGGCAGCTGTCTCCTGGCCCAGGGCTTCCCACCAGCTCTTGGGCTACAAACTATGGGAGGGAGTCTAGAGCTCCCCCTGGTGGAGACAGGGGTCCACTGCAGGGCCCCAGGAAGCAGGAGTAGTTTATTGCCATTAGCAGCAAATCTGCTCCGGTTTCCCTGCACATATAGACACCTGCCTGGGAGCATTTACTTGCAAGTAGCTTACTTGCGAGTAAACAGCGCCCAGATCTAATGGATGTGTAGACACACCCAGTGTTGCCTGGCATCTGGCCTCATGCTTCATCTGCTACCCAAACTAAGCAACCACCTTTTGAGCATCTGCTCCACATCCATTACCCTGAAGACTGTTGGGTAATAGCCACCTCTGCAATAAATATTACAAAAACTTTAAGTTCTTCTCCTGAGGGTATTTCTAATAAAGATGCAGGTTTGCTCTCGCTCCTAGCAGAGAAAGAATTGGTTTTGTTTCTAACAGCCATGCCAAAGACACAAGAGAAAGTGTTCGTGTCAATTGGCCATATTCTCTAGACATCCTTTCATTATTCAGCACTGCACAAACACTCCCCAACACATCAGCCTGGCCTGATCACATAACCTGGTCATCCCCACAGTGACTCTCCATTCCACAAGCCGAACAGAACTTGTAACCTGGCTGTCCATTCTACTTTGTGTATTGGGATTCATTGACTTTATAACTGATTCTTCTAATATAAATTCTCCTTTTTAGAAAGGAACTTGGGGCTGGCCATCCTGTGCTACTTAGACAGAATATATTCAGCAACTGCAGTAACTCCAGCCAGCTCTACCATCGTCACAGTGTAGCAGTGGAATGCATAACCTACTACTATCCATATCCGTAAGAAGAAAACAGGACTACCACTGCACAGGAACATGGATGATTCATCTAAGAAGCTACTGGGGTAGTGGGATGAGTTAGCAAGCAGGAATCTAACTGTAGGAGTAGGAAAAAAAAGTATTTTGGATGATGTCCTTACCATCTGAGGAATATCCAGTGAGGCCTCCAAATATTACCAACACATAACTGACATCCAGCTCCCTCATGATCTCATAGGCTTTCTCTTCAGTGGATGCCATTGCCTTAACGAAATACAAAGTCAGTCAAGTGATAGCCATTAAACCCAGAGTTGCCCTGTTGTGCTGGTATATGGACCGCAACTTGAAACCATCCTAGTCCTTAATAAGAACAAACTGCTTGAATGAGACCCTCCTTTTATTTCCAGGACTCAGGAAGAATGCATCTTCCTCCACATAAGTTTTTCTGGAACACTGGAGGAAAAGTTCTGGGACCAAGAAATAGTTGCACCTACCTGCCCAACTCGGGAGATATGCGTATTATTCCAAGTGTTGTTGTCTACCAGAATTGTTCTGTTGGCCATAGCTGTTATCTGATACCCATAATCCCACCAAGACATGACCTTTGCATCCTGCATTCAAATACAAAAAGGTCAATTAGTACAGTCTGTTTTCAACCAACGCTGTGAAAGAAGTTTTGTCCCATTCCTCATTACAACACATTTAGTAGGCAGGTCTTATAAGATGCCCTAAATCTGTTGAGTCCAGCAGATCACAGAAGCACACCTTTTTTTTGCAATGCTATAATGTTCACTAAAGTTGACCCAGTTTGTTCTAAGACGAAAGTTGGACAGGTAGTCTTTTCTGCCAGCAAACCAAAGCCAAGACAGAAAAAGAGGTAGCTGCCAAATAGCTGCGTTCTGCAGCAAACTGACCAACTTCTATGTATGGGACTGCATGGCATTTTCTTCCAGGCCTCACTTCCTTTCCATAGTTTACAAAGAAGGGTGAAAATGCAACTGGAAGCTGCCTTGCCAGGCCTGTTTATAATGAAGAAAAGGTTCAGAAATGCACTAACTGCTGATATTCCTTTGGGCTCAAAGTCTGAGGCCCAAGAGCCATCCACACACAGCTGAGTTGACATCATCAGGGTATAGCACTCTAATCTACAGACTGAACCAAGATCTATTACAAACATATTTGGCTGGGAACTCAGGCTATAACATAATTCTGGTTATACTACAGTTTATTTTAAGCTACGCAGGCAACATCAAAGTCAGTTATAATACAGCCCTCCAACACTTCACTTTCCTGTGCACTCAGGTTGAACATAATGAGCTCCTGAATTAGTCACTCAGCAAACTGCCAACATGTTGTTTTCAAAAGTCTGAGAGCATTCAAACTGTATCTCCAGAGACCAGGAATGCAGGTCACTTCTGATCTGGTGTTCTGTGCAATAAAGCTACCAAGAACTGTGCTAGATAGCTTAAATTTAAAACAGTACTTTTTATTGGGACCGAACACTTCATGCTCACAAGACACATCTCAACCATGCAGGCTAGTCAATAAACTCTATATGCTGGGAGGAGTTCAAAGCTATTCAGTGGTAAAGTTAGGTAATCCAATAAATGACCTACATCTTCCTAACCTCTTTTGCAAAGCTGTTTGCCCCACAGAAGTCAAGGCCAGCAACCCCATGTGCCCAGTGGTCACAAACTCCTTTGTGGCAGAGTCTATGTGCAATGAATAGTTCAGTAAAGAATCTCCATTTCCCAAGTGATTCTAAACAATAGGGAGAAGTAAGTCTTTCTTTAAGCAGTGAAGGAAAAACTCTTAAGGCCCAAAAGCTTCTTCTAAGGAGCTGATTTTGAAAACATAGTGGGAATCTAACAGTGTTCAGCCTGTGTCACACAATTATAACTTTCAGATAAGGCATCACACCAACACCTGAGTACTGACTCCAGGGACCTGTGAGACAGGACCTGAGTGCAACTCCATCCTTCATTCACAGAGTAATAACTCAGTCTGGTATAAAAGATACTGTATGTCACAGACCTTTACAGATATTTACTTAACAATTACTCCTTTGCAGTCTCCTGAAAGAGAGTTTTGCAGATTACTTAGTTTTATAGACTAAGCAATTAAGGCACAGATTAGATGAATGACTTTCTCAAGGGGAGATGGAACCCAAAATTCCTGACTCCAAGTTACGAGCTCCAACCACTGGAGTATGCTTGGGCATCCTGGACAAACAGCACTAGGGAGGATTAAAAAACATGGCTCATTTGGAATAGGTTCAATTCTGTACATATTTCTGATTCAAAACACTTAGAGTTGAGACCATCCTATCCCCAAATCAGAGTGGGCATGCCCAAAGCCTTCAGGCCTTTTTGAAAGTAAGTCTAATGTAGCCTAGTAATCTGGCATTTTAGACCTAATGTCTGATACCATTCCTTAACAAAAGATATAGCAGTAGCCCTGTCCGTCCTTAGGATTTAAGGCTTCCATATTCACCTAAAACTGATTCCAGAGAAGTTATTTCATTTATGCAAACCAGTGATTCTCAACCAGGGTGCCTGGGATACCTTGAGATCCTTTCAGGGTTATTGAGGGGTGCCACACAGCATTAGCACTATTAGGTTTGCAAACATGATTCACAACATAAACCCAGAGATTTCAAATAGGAATGCACAGTGTTAAAAACATCCTGACTTGTCATGGCCCAAGTTCTTTGCAACGGAAGAACTGCTCTATTATTTTTCTGTAGTCCAAAAATGAGTGAAAAGTAAAAGCAAATCTAATGAGAGGTGCCTTGAACTTAAAAAGTTTGAGAACCATTGATGTAAGCAGAAACCCTACTAAAGTTTACCTCTGGTGTATTGTGGCGCAACCAATAATAAGCCTCTCTGAAGTCATCAAAGATGATCCTGCTACCATCCCCACCGCGAGCGGACAGCACTATAGAAGGGGAGGAATAGGCCTCACTGGTCACCCAGGTTGAATGGAAAGTGTAGGTGATCAAGAAGAAAGCCATGACGAGGATCATGCCACTGGCAACCTACGGAAGCAGAAAGCAATCAAAAAATGTTTCAGAAATGGTATTCTGAAAGATATCAACCTCCCTTTATAAGAAGCCCTTTTCAACCCAAATGCAGGGCTCACAAATACTGACAGACCTATGCTCGGAAAACAAGAATTTTTTCCCCTTTCTCTGTTATTTCATAGATCTAGAGGACCTCCTTACATTACTAGGAGTCTCCTACCCCCAGACCCTTGAAGTAATGCTTGCCCCTTGGAAGTTTGGGTCTGGCCTCTGTTTTAAACCTGGGTCTTAACCATGCATGGGAACTTACTTCATTTTTAATGGGGTAAGTAGAGTCTTGTTGTTTTTTGGTTTTTTTGTCTGGTCGGCTGATATCCAGGTTCTTCATGTAAGTGGACAGCACCTGAGAAACTCCAATGCCAGACAGAATGCACATAACTGGGGCCAGCACCAACATGAGACGCACCTGTTGAAGACAGCAGGCATTTAATACCTGATCACACATAAGGAACTACTAGCAGAGTGCAGTGTAAACAAAGAAATGAAAGACTGCTAAAGAATGTAACATCCCACTGATGCAGTGATTCTTTAGACAAGCAACTATTCTGAACTCAACAATAGCCTCTTGAGCATGAGGCATTAAGACAGTTTCCCCAGTGGGCAAGAACTGACCACCCTGCTGACCCCTTTGTTAACTGCCATGAAATCCCCGAACTTCACGAAAGTCCCTGCCAGACACAGAAAAATATTCTGATTCGACATCAGTTCTGGACCCTTCAGTAAAGCTGCACTATAGCTAAGAATGAGTGGTTTCATTTACAAGATTCAGTTCCCACCTGGAGTACAATATGGTACAACAGAATTGTGAACTACTTGCTAACAAGAAGCTACTGTTTGAATAGGTGAGTCCTTTGCAGTTAGCTTATACTGACTACATAGGTAGCACAGCCAAGCTGTATAACCCAGGAGCAAGACTGGAAACAGCATTCATTAGTCTCTCCCAAAATCTGTCCATCCCCAGCAGTAATGACAACAAAGATGAATGACAGTCCAGCCTATTAGAAATCTTGCAAAGCTGCTTTTCTTAACAAAGCTTCACAACATATAGATGGATACATAAAGGTGGTTGAAAATGCAGGAAATACTGAGTGTTTCAGTCAACTCATATGTATAAGATTATGCCCACTGGATGCTGGGAGAGTTCAGAACACAGAAGGTTATGACCCCCAGTGAGCAAGTAACAGAGCTGGAAATAGCTCTCCTAGTGCTCTGTGTTACCCATTTCCTCTTTCTACCCGTTTTTCCCAAGCCCAAGTAGTTCTAGTCCCATGACAGCAGATTTTCACTCCTCGGCAGGCAGCAGCTCTCACCATCACAGCAGAAAAGTACATGCTGGTCACACCATACATTATGATAAAAATACGGGCATCTGACAGATTACTGAAACAGTAGTAGAGGCCAACTGTAAAAGACAGAGACACAGGTCAACTCCCAGACTGGAAAGACATTACATTAAACAAACTGAAGGTCAAAGCAGAACATTACAAATGGTCTATTTTAGAATAATACATCTTTTGTATCACAATAAAATTGGTTCAATGCATTAGTGCAGACGAAACAAGCGCCAGGAAAGGGGCAATGGCGGTCAAGTCCTGCAAGGAGTTGTAAACTTATAATGCATTAGTCTGTCAGCACAACACAGATTGAAAAAATGCTGGACTTAAAAGCCATATGACAAAAAAAATACAGGTATAGGTCATTGGCTATACAGGCATCCCGCATCTTACACACATTTAACTTGCGTGAATTCAACTATATGCAGGTGGGGAGGGGGGCGGGGCTTGAGTCTGCACCTGGCACTGCTGCTTACCTGGGGGCCTGGCCACCGCCACGTTGCCAGCAGTGACTGCCTCTGCCTCCAAAACCTCCTGTTGCCACCATGGAGCCGTGCCCGGAGCTGTGTGGCCGGCCACCGGGTGTGGTGGTTGCCAGGCGGCACACAACCATCCCCACCACTACCCCACACTGCGCCGCTGCCGCTGGCCGCACAGCTCTAAGCGCGGCTCCCCGACCGCCGGGTTTGCACAGCTCCGTGGCGGTGGTGGGTGGTTTTGGAGGCAGAGGCAGTCACCGCTGGCACGGTAATACGCGATTTCACTATACGCGATTTTCGCCTTTACGCACTGCCTTTAGAACGTACCCCCCGCGTAAGATGTGGGATGCCTGTACTAGCATTCAAATAAGTGGGGCGTTTCACTGGCCCAGTAATGAATACTTTAATTGATTTATTGGGCTCCTGTGTAAGGCGCATACTAGACTACAGAATTCTGCATAGTATGCAAGCTTTCTGTAATGTTGGGGTATAATTCAAGGTATTAGCACCAATTAACCTCAAGTGTGCCAATCTAAGTACTGAGAGCAAATGCCTCTGGGGGAACCTTATCTATCAGAGCACCTCATGGGAAGACCATCCAGTGCCACAGGTGGTGGTATCTGGCACTTTCCCTCCCTACTGCTTTCCATCCATAGCTCTCAAAACACTTCACCAGGTATGCAAATGTTATCAGAGTGGGGGAAATGATTTACTCAGAATCTCAGAGCAAAGCAGTGTCAGCACTGAGTCCCGATTCTCATGCCATGTCTTATCCACTCATAATAGTTCAGATAAAATGCCATACATTAAAACTGTAATGAGAAGTGAACAGCAAGGCTTAAAAGGAATATAATGTGTTCCCTGTGGGTGACCATGCCAAGCAGGTGGGCACTGCTAGAACTTTCAAAGGACTCTATAAAGAGTAGCCCTACCAGGTGTAGAATACAATGCAATTTCCTACTGACCTGATAGAGTACAAGAATATTGGCTTTTAGTATAATGGTACCCTTTTCTGGCTTCTGCCCAGTGGGAAGGACAGGGGACTTTCATTAGGATTTTGTACAGCAATATTTAAATGTTTATAGACTGAACAGATTTACCTGCAAGTAGTTCGTCTGAGCATAAATGAATGTACCAAACTCACCTGGAAACATGAAAACAAGTAGCTGTAAATCAAAATAATAGGAGGACCATGTGGTGGGCTGGTGCTCAGAAACTGAAGCAATGATGGGAATGTTATTCTTGGCATAGGAAGGATCCAACAGGGAGTAGAAACGACCAGTCCAAGGAGATATTTTCCCTGATAAGAGAGACAGAAATTCACATTTCCAGTATAAACCGATCTGTGACTCCAACAAGTGCTCCTACAGAAGAAGTGTACGTAGGAACTAAAATTTTATTTCACGAATGCAAATTCATCTGCTCTATCTATGTACAGCACTATCAATATAGTAAATTCATAACGGTTAGCTTTTAAAATTGCTTTAAAAGTGCAGTTCTCAACCCTCAAAAGGAACAGCAAGCAGAGTTCTTTATACCATTTTTATGGTTTTACTTTGATTGTTCATCAAAAATATTCAGTTGCCAGTGGAAGAGATGATTATTTAAGTGCTGTTCTCAAAGCAGACATACATTCTCCATGCAGGTTTGCAAAATATAAAAAATGCAATTTTTCTTTTGTTCATTCAAAGCTGAATTATATTTGATCATATGGTTGCTCTCCAAAACAAAGGCAAAGAAAGCAAACTGGAAATTAGATGTGATTTATAATCATCAAGAATGCAGCTTTTAACACAGATCTCAATATACCTGTCAACATCAGCACAGCTCCTATTGTAAGAAGAACAAATCCAACCAGGGAGATCACACTCCTGAAGAGAATTTCAAACTGCTGAGGGTTCAACTTGCTGCGCAGGTAGTCCACAAAGGCATGGATCTGACACAAGCCAAAGACCCCAAGAGCAGCCATGTGCTCAGATGACAGAACAGGCTGAAAGAAGAGAAGGTGGAATCAGATATGGAGGGCAGCAGCCACTCTGTGTCAGAGTCACTGTGTATTTCAATTTATCCTCCAGCAGCACACTCATGGGAATCCCAGGTGCCTTCCCCTTGGCACAGAAGACACAACACATAGGTGGGATGAGTCACTTTCTTGCAAAAATTAATTGAACATTAAGGCTCTTAGGAATCCCCAGCATCAATTAAATTCAGGAGCCACAGTGGAAGCTCTTATCATTGGGAATCCTGGTTTTCTCTGTTTAAAAAAATCCAAAATTCTCTGATTAAAACCCCAAATTCCGTGTTTTTCCATGATTAACACAAAATGCCACTACATATACAAGAATCAGTTGAACACAATGATTTATTGATATACTTACAATTTGGAAGCCTACCGGTGCTTCAAACATTATAATAAAATAAATTCTCATTACCTGTATTTTGGCATTTGATTTAGTTTTATCACGAAAAATGAGAGCTCCCCCTGCTCCATTTGCTCTCCAGGATGCAGGTCCAGCTGTGGCTATCCCTCTGCTGCTTTGTGGCTCTGAACAGCCCTGATATGCTGGTGCCCCTCACTCCTGACCCACAGCCTCCTAGCCCCCACAGCCTTCCCAGTGCCCCTCATTCCCAAGCTACAGGCCCCCTAGCCCTGCTGGTGCTCTTAACTCCCAACCCACAGTCCCCTGGCCCTGCAAGTACCCCTCACTCCCAACCCACAGCTCCCCCATTCCCCCAGCTCTGCTGCTGCCCCCCACTCCTGACCCGCTACCACTTGCCCCCAGCCCTCCACGTGTGTATGAGGCAGGGCATGGGAGTGTGTGTGGGGGGGGGTGCCTGACCATAAGTGATGCATTGAGGGAGATCATGGGACGGCAGAGGCTCATGCCCCCCCTAGATTTGTGTGCCCACAGTGGGGTGCAGGACTGCAGCCTAGCTGAACCAGCACAGGCAGGAGCTGTCTCTATGGTCCAGTGGACCGGACCCACCGTGGTACAATGGAATAGGGCAGCGAGACTTTTCCACCATCGCCAGGACCTCTGCACAAGCCACACCGCCAGCAGCATAAGGAGTAATGGACCGGGGAAGGGGGAAGGCAGTTGCACTGCCCTCACCTCTTCCTGCCGCCAGCCACTCACATGTTGGGCTGTGGCTCTACCCTGCCAACATGGCCCGGCTGCTGATGCCACCACTGCTACCCTCAGGCTGCTTGCCCCACCCCACCTCCCCGCCAAGGCAGAACCACAGCCTAAGTGGAGTGGCAGTGCTGGTGGCCAAGCCATGGTGGTGGGAGGAGGCAAGAGCAGCACACCCCTATCCCCTCCCCCCCAGTCCATTATTCCTCAGGCTGCTGGCAGTGTGGCTGGCGTGTGTGTCCCAGCAGCGACGAGTCTCACTGTCCTGCCCGCTGGGCCATGAAGGCAGCTCCTGTCCATGCCAGTCTAGATAGACCACAGCACCTCATGCCCACTGTGGGTGCACAAATCTGGTGGGGCATGTTCCCCTCTAAGGGCCCCCACCTGGACGCATCACCTACGTCATCCCCTTGCATAGACTTACCTGCAGGGAGATGCTCTCCACCACACTGCCTGGCTGCCACATGCATGTGTGCAGGTGCACATGCACATGACAGCCCCTGCCTGTGGTTGTCCTCCTCCCATTCCCCCCAGCCTCAAACAGCCCCTTGCAGGCTGAAACTCTGCTAACCTTTAAAGGAGAAAATCCATGTTTTTTCACAGCAAACAGAAAACCCAGATCTCTGCTCATCATTCTAATTCCTTTTCCAATTATAACTTGTTTTGAAGAGGTGGTTGATTTCAAAGTAATTTAGGCACCTGAATACATTTAAAAATCTTTAAAAATCCTTAAAAAAACTGGATGTAAGTGACACGCTTAAGATCACAAAGTGAATGAACGTAACAGAAATACAACTAGAAAACAACTCTCCCTGGACCAAGCTGTCTGCCTTCACTTATTTGGCGTTGTCTTCTTAATACAAAACAATCCAGAAAAAAATAAGAGATCCAGACCACATACGTAATAGTGGATTTTTACGTGATTTAAAAAGCTTTACAAAGTTTCATCATCCCCGTTACAAATAAGACACAAACAGAGGAACAGAGAAGCAAAGCATCTCCACTAAATTCACAAGCAAATTAGTGGCAGAGCTCATAAAAAGTCAGTCAACCGTAGTTCTCCTGCTCTAACCACTAAGTCATGATCTTTCCTACTGCTTCACTTGATTCTCTTACCTGGAAGCCAACAAAGGAGATTTGCATAGACAGGATGGTCCCTAGGCAATACACCGTACAGTAGGCGACATAGATCCTGTGGGAAAAGCGTCCTGTCAGCATCAGCACAAGGACATGTAGAGGGATCAGGTTGATCAGGAATACATAACCACCCCAGGAGGAAACCTGACCAAAAGGAGGAAAAGAACAGGTTTATCATCAGAACAAGATGAAGAGGAGCCAGTGTTTTAGAAACAAACCCCTCACTCTTCCGTGAAAGGAAAAACAGACCCAAGTACTCTACGGCAGAGGAGTTACTATCCCTCTTATAGAAACAGTGGTAAATGTGATGGAAGCAATAACTGAAGCATCCTGCCCCAATACAAATGCATAGGAAAAGTCCCATTTTAGGTAGAACTAATAAAGCGAAATTCAAAGCAAGTAAAAACTGCAGTTTCTTTCATAGACCGGGGCTGTGCCAAGCTCTTCCCAGTGGAGCAGGGTAAGTTTCTTAGAGTCTCAGAACAGCAGAAACTCCCTATGCCTGAAAAAGGGTGACTGTGCCTGAAAGCTTGGGCCCAAAAGCTTGCTAAGAACTTTTTTCCAACTACTTTCACCCACCTACAGTTCTCATTTTGATGCTAGTTCTCTTTGCTAGCTCAGCAGTAGCACTCTGAACATTCAGCAGACTTCTCTGCTGGCTTCAAACAATGGAAAGCTAAAGTCTTTCTTTGGCTTTAGGTACAGCTAGATAACCATTTCTTTCAGTAGGTCTGCAGCAAACATTACTGTTGTCTTTTTATTAGAGGTGCACTGATACATCAGTCCAATATCGGATTAACACTGATAAAAAGAAAATTGTCTGCATCAGAAATTGGCCTGATACGGTCAATAATTTGGCCAATAAATGGCCATGCATGGGCGCAGCCTCAGCGTAGCATGTAGGTGGCAAGGAGCACAGCTGGGCAGCTTGGAAAGCTGAGTGCACCTGGTAAGTCTGGTGTGGTAGAAAAGAAGGGGAGAGGAAGAAAGGAAGGGGTGTGGGGGAGCAGATCAAGACCCCCGCGGTGAAGGAGGAGTGGGGCTGAGACTGCCCATCCAGGGCAGGGCAGGCATGGGATGGAGCTGCAGCTTGTCTGAGGGGTGCAGGGAGCGAGGTGGTTCCCTCCACTACATGCCGCTCATCCGGGAGCCACTGGTCTGGAGGCTTGTCCGGCCTAGTCGATGACTTGCCCACTCGTCCAGTGGCTCTCACCGCTGCTCCCACTGCTCATCCGGTAGGGCACTGGGTGGGGACAGGGGAGACATGTGCCCCCAGATCTGCATTGGACCAGGGCTGCACCAAGCTCTTCCCAGTGCGGCAGGGCTGGGCTCGGTGCAGGTGGCAGCAACACTGGGACAAGGGGACTGGGAGGGGGCTGCAGCCACTGCAAAATTTTCCGTAGCCCCCCCCATTTCCCCCCCCCCACC